AGAATATTTAAAATTACATCTTGATTATTATTTAGCATAGTGGAATCATTTAAAAGTAGTAACTTTTGAAGATACCTAAATGTTTATCAGATCAACACAAAAAAGGGAATGATGTCACCAAGATTACATCATTGAACATCTCCTCCAGTCTCCAAATTGAAGGTCCATAAAATAAATTACATTCATTATAATGGACACATTTCTCTTGAAAGTTTCCATAGAATGCCAAGCAACAGCAAACAAGGCATTACATGAAGAAAGCATTAGTCATAATATTGTGAAAGTCTTAGAATCAACCTGTACATGGCTAGAAACATAATTGCTTTAGTATGTTTCTGTTTATTTAGATGCACTGGGGGTGGGAAAATTGACTGGTGGTTTATTGTTTTCATTGGTTTATTATTTTCATTGAGGTTTTTTCCCTATTCTTTTTCTTCTAAGCTTTTTATTGTTATGTTTAAGTAGGTGTCATTTAAGAAAGAGTTCATAAATATAATATATACAATGAAGGCTAAGATGAAAGCAGGAAGGATGATACAATACTCCATTTTTATCAGAGATGAGATTAAGCAGAAAGGAAACATGAGGAAGATATTTAATAAACAAGTTAATGGGCAGTCAGTACATTGGGCTCCATCCAATGAAGACTTCCTGGTGATGAGGCTGCCTTAGCCATAAGCGCAGCACAGAAATAACTTTGCAAGATGACCAAAGTTGAGAGCCGTCTACAATAATTTTATGAAAGGACAGCACAAATGACCACCGGGAACATACAAAACAATGTAATGGGAATCTGATCTCTAGTGTTCTCAGGAGGGTAGTTCAAGGTTTTAAATATAGAAAACTCTTTAGATTGCAAAGAATGCAGTGTCAGCTGAATGAAAATTAGGAAAAGAGCTCTTTTAATAAATAAAGTATACAAAGCTATACCTAAAGGTTCAGGAGGAAAGAATACCAATGATACTAGATGTAGGGGAAAAGAAGCAAAACATAAGAAATGTTTCCTTCTGGTAAATATGTAGTTCAACCTACTAAGATATACAACAAGAAAGCAATAGTCTATGCTTAAGTAGAAATGATATAAGTCAATTTCTGATAATTTTCTCTTAAAACTTTTTCAGTACATTGTAGGTTATAAATAAAAATAAGTGACATAAGCAATTAAGAAAAATAGCTAGAAAATTTGGATGGGAAATAACATAAGTCATTTGTGGGTGGCTAATGAGCAATAAGATGTGTGTTTTTCATCTAGTTTGGGGAGAAGTTCTCTCACAGGAGTAAGAATTGTCAGGACTCATGCTTTCCTGTCCTTTTTTAGAGTTGGTCAGTTTTGCCACCTATACAGCCCAAGTAAGTGCCCAATGAGGACCCTGGAGACAAGGAGTCCAACAAATAACTGGTGAGTAAAACTAAGTGAAAGAGCCTACTCTTGAATGAAGATATCCTGCTGTTTTAATTTTAGATTTCTAATCTACTTTCTTCCTCGTCTTTTCATTCAGCTTCTCTCACTGTTAGATCGTCTATGAAGTAAACAAGTAGAAGACAAATCACATTCACATCAAGCTGGCACTGGACAAAAACAATGAATGCTTCAAGCATAACATGCTTCGCAAGCATGAGGCCCTGCGTTCAAACTCCAGCACCAAAAAAGAGAAAAAAGAAAAAAAAAACTGTCAGGATTCAACACAGGCATCATATTCCTACTATTTCCATTCAAAGACACACATAGAACGAAGGATGATAAATTGTAGCATGTTACAAACTTTCTCCAGGGCTCATCAAATAATAATTAAAATTCTGAATGAAAACAGAAGCCAAATACTTAAGATGCGTGGTAGTACTACCAAGACTTACAATAACTCTCTAGCAAAACAGAATAAATATCACATTAAAACCTTCCGCTGTTGAGAACTCTAGAACAGCAGTATGTACGCATCACAATAAACCTTCTGTACAATTACAAAAGAACTATAATGTATTAAACTTTACCGTTCTTCTATAAGCAATACAATATGGGTCCTGAGTAAGTGCTAATACATATTTTTTTCTTTTTGTTTCACATTAAAAAAATTAAAGGAAAATCTCATGAGAAAATGGGTATTGAGTATACTTCTAAGAAGCTTTCATAGGGTCTCTCCCATAGTTGAAACAAACACAGGCATAAGGTTAGCATAATCAAGCAGTAAATTATGACATTAAATCTAGGTGAGTAGTTACCCATAATGATTAACGTATTTTTCTACTTTCTTAACAATAACACTAAGTAGAAATCAATTAAAAGAGGATAAAAGAGTGAATACTAAACTAATTACCAAAGTCATTTAATTCAAAGATTATATTAAGGCCAGGAGCCACTGCCTTACGCCTGTAATCCTAGGTACTCAGGAGGCTGAGATCTGAGGATCATAGTATGAGACCAGAACAGGCAGGAAACTCCATGAGAGTCTTATTGTGAATAAACTACTCAAAAAAGCTGGGACTGGCGATGTGGTTCAAGTGGTAGAGTGCTCTCCTTGAGCAAAAAAAGCTCAGGGACAGCCTCGAGGCCCAGAATTCAAACCCCAGAACTGGTGCGCTCCTCCCCCCCCTCTCGCTTGCACTCTCTCTCTCTCTCTCTCTCTATATATATATATGTATATATATTAAATATTTTATTGGTTTAGTTAATATATATATATCATACACATAAGTAAATTTACTTTAAATTAGATAAATTTACCTGTTACAAATATTTATTAAAGAAATTTTATAAAAGTTAATGCCATGTTAAAAAAAAACTTTTTATACTGTGTGAGAGCAGATGTTTATTTTTGTTTATATATTTGTGTTTTTACATTTAAAACCAACTTGGGAAAGTAATTTAGTATAGTTGAAGAAAATAGTTACTTTAAATGAGAGAACAGTGATGACATCAAGTTATTAAGTCTTACTGACTAGGAAGCTACAAAATTTTCAGTAATAATCTGTTTAGATTTTGGAAAAACACACTTTGTGGTATTTCTGGCCAATCTGGTAGCTTCTGGTTAACCATTATTCAAATGTGTTAAATTTATCTTAGAAAATGAATGTGTTATTTTGAGATACTCCTAAATCTGAGTCAACCTATACATCTCTCTTCCTATATATGAAAGTACAGCAATACAGAGAGGTTCTTTATAGACAAAACATTCCACTAATATTAGATGTCCAGATCTAAAATTCCTTTTATAAATTGCAATTAAGACAGTATTAAATTTCAAGATTTATTTTTTTCTGAAATAGAGTACAATAGTATCAACCATATATATATATAACTAGAAATGTCAATTTGTATCTCCCTTATGGGAAATAGTATCAAAGTTCCTCAGAAAATGAAAAACGAACTACAGGATAATCCAACAATTGAACTAATGGGTATATAACCAAAATAAGTTAAATGAGTATGTCAGAGACATCTGTATTCCTACGTTCACTATATAATTATCCAACAGTTTAATAGAATTAACCTAAAATATTCACCAATGGATGAATAAAGAAAATATGATTCATATAAACAGAAATACTATTGAGCCACACAAAGGGTAAACTACTATCATTGCAACATGGATGCAACTGAAGGTCATTATATTAACGGAAAAAAGACAGTCTATGATCTCCTTCATACATGGAATATAGAATTTGACCTCACAGAAGCTGAGAGTAGAATGGTGGTGAAGATTTGGAAGAATACGCGAGAGAGCTAAGCATGGGCAAAGGTTGACTGAGTTATAGTTAGGAGAATGAAGTGCTGGTGCACTATGGCACAGCAGGTTAAATGATAGGTAACAATAATGCATCGTAACGTTAAAATGTTAGAGAAATTTGGAAATTTTTTCAAAAATATAATAAATGACACAGATATTTCTAACATGATTTTAACATTACCTGAATTATAAATGAAATGTAAATACCACATTACCCCATTAATATAAGTAATTTTTATCTTTTTACTTAAAAGACTCATAATATTAAAAATACCACACTAACTTTTTTCAAGGTACAGTATATTAGTACAAAATGCTATATCAACATTTTTATGTAGCAGATCCCAAAATTTGATCATTACAAATCTTATCATGTATAGCCATAAATAATTGGCCTTTGACTCCACTATTAGGTTAATTTCACTTATTAGTACAAATAAATTCCAACTCTGATTTTTATTATGAATATTAAAAAGTGCCCATTTGAAAGTATTTAGGATTTGGAACACTTTTTTTTATAGTGAAGCATCATACATTCTTATTAACATACATTCTTATTAACATACAGCATAGTATCATAAGTAACTGAGCATTATAAAACACTCCAAAATTATCTTTCACAATATTTAACCATATATTTGATAAAATAGTTCAGTGTGTGTACATTATATTTGATGAACCACATGCCAATTCGTAGGGAATACTGGGACACTGATGAAAATGAGTGAGACAGATTATGGGTCAGTAGTTTTTCCTATAAAGAAGCAGAGAGTAAACATTTTGAGCTTGAGGGCCATATGGACCATTGAAATGATTCACCGCTATAACTGCAGCATACATGAGCATGATTGTGGTCAATAAAAACCTTATTTGCAAAAACAGGTGGCAGCCTAGATTTCTCTAGTGGAACATAGTTTGCCAACCACTAAAAAAATGAAGGAGAGAGAAAGGGAAGGAAGAGAGCGAGCAAGAAAGTGAGTGACAGAGAGAGTGAGCAAGAGAGAGTGAGAGAAAAAGAGAGAAACAACTAAGAAAGTGGGAAAGAAAGAAAATCAAATGAAAAGTATACTTCTGAGAACAAGTAACTACTTATAGGGCTGACATGATCTGTTCTACGGATTAACATTGATCTTGAGGCCCTAAAAAATAAAGCAAGTTTGTTGTTGCTGTTTTTTAACGACTGGATTCAATGTTGACTAAACTACTGGCCTTTGTACATCAATGCATTAATAATGAAAATGCTGATATTCAGTAAGGACATCATCAAATTTGACTTACCTTAACAATGGATGGAATATGATGGTAATGTTTCTGGCTCCAGGTTTGCAGACAAATTTTGTTCCTCCACCTTCAATTAAATTGTCATCAGGTCCTCCTTTTCAGAAAACAAGAAAAAAAGGGATTTAGCTCACTGCAACTCTTTAAATAAAGCAAGCCTATACACATGACGATAGTCATGCTGTCAAAAGAAACATCTTTGAGAAGCTCTCTTCAATATCTACCAAGTTCTTTTGATTAATTGTTCAAGACTTTCTCACTCAAATGAATTAACGATTCAATAATTCACTAAGGATGATAACTTGGAAGTCTAGGAAAAATAAATAGGCTACTCAAACCATTCAAGGTTATAACTTGGTTAAGGTTAAATTTTTTATCTCTAGTTATAAGCATCTTACAAGAAATTTTCAAGAAAGGAAGAAGTGATCTTCACAGTTGTGCCCACTTGTAGAACTGTGAGGAGAAACTTACATATTCACTATGACAATGTTTCATCATAATTAAGACCATACCAAGAACATGACACCCCACTATCTTATGTATCACTACAGAAAAAAAATCTTGCTTATTAAATTATATACGCATCTGTAAAATCTTCATCTTTCTTATTGAAAAGCTTCTACAGTTTTTAAAATAAATGACTGTTTACTATAAATTTCCCTTGGATATTCAAGAAAGAATTATTTTAAAATTCATTAAAAATTCTATAAAATTATTTAATTATGCTTTTCTGAATGGTTCTGACTGAGCATTGTCAATGTCCTTGTTTTCTGTACAGTTTCATCCTATGGCATCATGAGTCTGCATTTCTTAAAGTCATGTTCCATGTTCCAGTTTGTATTTCATTCCATGATGTATGTTAATAGCCATTCTGCAGAGTTTAATGCTTTCTTATGCCACCAGGAAACTTTTTTGTTGTTGGTATTACCAGTCCTGGGGCTTGAACTCAGGGACTGGGAACTGTCATTGAGCTTCTGTGCTCAAGGCTAGTGCTTTACCATTTGAACTACAGCCCCATTTGCAGATTTTTGGTAGTCCATTGGAGATAAGAATCTGACAGACATGCCTGTCCAGGCTGGCTTTGAACTGTGATCCTATGATCCTCAGATCTCAGGTTCCTTCAGTAGCTAGGATTATAGGCATAGGCCAGTGGTGTCCAACCAGAAAGTATATTTGTAATGTTTGTAAATATAATGTTTTCTACATTGACTGGGACCCGTATGACTTCTTTAGTCTTTACTGATTAATTAAAACATCAAAGGATAATGATACAGAAAGTATCCACCAAGTTCATATACTCTGAGGCAGTAACAATACATCATGACTATGAAGGTGCACAAACACTTAGATAACACAGATTTAAGATAAATCCTAAACTTCAGAGAATTTAAAATGTGAAAAAGAGCTGGGCTCTTGGTGGCTCACACCTATAATACTAACTACTCAGAAGTTGATATCTGAGGATCTCAGTTCAAAGCCAGCCCAGGCAGGAAAGTTCGTGAGACTCTTATCTCCAATAAATCACTAGAAAACCAGAAGTGGTACTGTGGCTCAAGTGGTAGAGCGTTTGCTCTGAGCTGAAGAGCGTAGGGACAGCGCCCAAGCCTAGAGTTCAAGCCCCACGACCGACCCCCCCCCAAAGAAAATGTGAAAAAGAGATATATAGGTTTGAACAATGAAAGAAGTATTTCTACCTCCATTTTTGTGGTTCTTTCTATTAAGATGAAAATCAATTATTGGAATCCCTGTCTTCAATCTCACTTTTGTCTACTAGGAAAGAAGAGAAAAAAAATCCACAACACAGATCACTTCTATTACTGTTATGTTAGTATTCTTTTTTTACATATCCCTTTTCTCATTTGGGACATAACTTGGTAGAAAGTGGTTAGACAGGGACATATTTGCTGCATGAATAAAAAAACAGAGAACTACTTTGGAAGACTGTTTTTAGAATTAGATGAGACAATATATGTAAAATCCTGTGTACACTGTCAAGAAAATAACAAATACAAATAACTCTGGTAAGCAGGTGTACTTACTACATACTTGCTGATGATAATGATCTAAGAATTAAGATAACAAAAAGACAAGGTACAATTCCAAAAAGTAAAGCAGAGAGCACTAGGAATGTTACTCCACCAAAGGCTTTGCGGGGAAAACTAAAGTATGATGAGAGTATAATAGGTAGAAACTCAGAGTAAGTTCATTTGTTCTAAGAGTTTATTAGCTACAGATGTATGATGACTGGTGCATAGCTTGGGTTTAAGCTAAATATAAAATGAAGTTTGGGAAGAATTTTTTTATAATTTTTTTTTTTTTTTTACCTAGACCCTACCTCTACTAAAATCCACCTATAGGAACTTTGTTCACTCTCTCAGTTCCCATAGTAAGTGTGATCTATGCTCATCAGATGGGATTTCCTCTTTAAAGATCAGATGTCAACATCCAGCTTTCTAAATGCAATTGTGTGAACACATCCCCTCTGGAATCTCCAGTTGAACAGCTTTAGGAGGTAGGCCTTTACTATAATCACTCTTATGAATAGATTATAGCTATTAAACTAGGAGTATGAGGGTTACAAGCAATTGAATTTGAACCCTTCTCTTCGCCCATCCATAATGGATGGGGGTAAGGGGGAAGGACCTATCTCTTCCTTTTCTTGAATTTCCCATATTCAAGTACTATAACAAATAAATTTCTATATATTTTAAAATACTCAGCCTATGGTACTCTATTATCACAGCACAGAGTGGAATAAATAGGGCTAACACAGTGAAAATATTCTTGATAAACCTGTCAGAACCAAAATTAAGACCCTGGTATAAGCTCAGAAGGTCCATGAGTCTGTACCTCTAAGATGGACGCTAGCATTTCAGTATTCTTAGTAAGAAACACAATTCACCTCTCCTTGCCTTTCTACTCTCAAGTAGCTTGGGAGCTGCTGTCATGAAGGTTAGAAACGTGCTGCTCAGTCCTGAGAAGCTCATCGACTAGGCTGGAACAGCTCTCTCCTTCATTTAATAGGCACGCAGGCTAATCTCAGGTGTGGAGGCCAGGTGATGGGCACCAGAGAAAATGCTGAATGATGATGGATAGTTGGAATGGAAGGAAAACTGATGGGAGTGTTACAAATAGAATATACTGTGTAAAGGGAGGGAAAGAATGCCCTAGTTGTATTTCTTGCTTTTAGCACAGAGAATGATTTGACAGGCTCTCCCAGATGATTGGCAAGGAGCATCAAGGCCACTTAATGGCTGGAGAAATGACAGCATGTAAGTGATCGAAAGCTAGTCCCTTCCGTCACAATTCATTTACTTATGAGAAATTAGCTTCCATTTTTATTTATTCCTTAATTCTTTCCCACAAGGATTTCCTGTCATTGGTAATGAATATAGTCATCTTAATAAAACAGAAAAAGGAAACCATAACCTTAGAAACAAATATTCTCATAGACACAACCGTGGTACAGTGGGAGGAATCAATACGTTCTGTGCCAGATACCTGATCTGGTTTTGTTTTTTTTTTGTAGAAATGTGATAGAATTATGTAAATTCCCTAAGCCATCACTTTCTTATTTATAAAATAAAGAGTGCAGTCAACACAAAGATCTTTAGTGATAATTAAGTGCAATAATGTACATAAAGGCACACACTACAGTGTTTGGCATGCAATATATCTAGAATAACCTGCCAACAATTTCCTGTTTAGAATTATTAAACAAGTAAGAATCCAACTGATCAGATAGATACAAAGATGCAGAAATGTACACAAATGCAAACAAAACCCAACATATGAATACTAGCTAGTAAAAGAAAAAGGTACATTTTTTAAAAGACCCCATTCTTTTTACTTTAGGCAGCAAAATACTACATAATTATTATTTATAAGATTAGCTTTGTAACAAATGAATAAAAGATATCTTTTATTACAATTATATCATTGGGTAATAAGTACAGTGAAAAATTCAGAATACTAGTAATACAGACAGAATTAAATAAGCTTTTCCTGTTAATTTTTTAATAAAAAATAGTCAAAAATGAGATATATAAACTCTAACATCAATACCTGTGTCAAATATTTAAATAAAGTAGAATTTGATGGTGATTTGTATAAAGCTACAAAAAGCAACATGCTCTATTTGACATTTTTCATGTGACATGGATTTAAAATGGGCTTCCAAGAAAGAAAAGAACTACTGTGTACATGGAAATTTTATATAAATGTATTACCTCAGAACTATATAAACTGCGTGCATAGTATACAGGATTGTTGGTTTATGGGACCATATTAATAGAGTCTTTATTTGACTCCAAGACTAGTTGAATGGTCTAAAAGTAACCTGCTTTCATAGCTGTTCTCTTGATAAAGGGAGGCATTTCAATCAAGTTGTTTAAGATGTGCCTTCTTTTAAAGCCTAAATTATCAGAATGCTTATAACTGCTGCTACTACAACTACAAAACATCTAACAAGAGTCTATGTATAACAACCCTGGGCTTTGTCACTATATCAAACATATTCTTTTCTTCAGATGGTTTACTATTATAGTAAAGTCAAACAAATAAAGAATGATAATGTTATTGTTTAACTCTAGGGTGAGAAGAAAACTCTAGACCTGAATAGAAAAGTCAGGCAACTTACTTCAAGGTACTCAAGTTATATCTAGGGTATAGTTGTTAAGAATAGTGTTTGGTTCATAGATGTAAACTCTTGTGCCTGAAATAATTTCCAATACTGAAGCACTTGGTATTTGTTGAATTTGTTATATGAATAAACAAATGGCTAAAGATGAAACTGAGTAACTCTTATCTGGATCAAATTATTTGTAACTACAAATGGTCTATGAATAAACAGCAGATGTGTTTTTACATGAAGCATATTCAGTGAGATTTTACAAAGAGGCTGAAAGAATATATTGATTACAGTATCATGTGTAGAAGAAAATCTCTCAAACAGAAATAAATTAGTTATTCCCACCACAATTCAAGTTAGTGCCTTGCCAAGCATTCTCTGATCAATTACATTTTCTTCATAACTAGCTTTAATGTTGTAGTATAGTAATTAAGACAGGTGGCAAGTGTTACCCTAGATAAGTATAA